ATGGATGCCCTGTGCCATGTCTGTGGCTTTCCACCTCTCATCTTGGCCATGGGACATCTTGGCCTTGGCTTTCCCATTCAAACAGGGCAGCATGTCCTACAGGGCTGTCCCTTCCTTTGTTCCCAGCTTGATGGAAATCTGGCTTTGGGTGAGTGTCACCACAGAGCCATTCCCCAGGCTGTACCCTGCCTTAGGGTCCTTTTGCATTGACCAGGAGAAGATGAAGCTCTGGAAAGACCCACAGGCAGGCTCTGCACTGATCCAACCTGTTGGGGCTCTGCTGAAGGCTGCTTTGCCCTGCTGAGTATGGGCCATGCTGAAATGTGCCAGTCCTCAGCGTCAGGGCTGCAGCCCCCTTTGCACCAGACAGATGCTGTGGTAGATGAGAGTGAGTCTGGGCTGTAAGGTCCTGGTGCTGGTGGTCAGGTATGCCAGGGGTTCATCTGGCTGAGAACAAACCCTGCAAAAATAGTTTTCAGCTGAATTGTTGCCTAATTAAAGCAGTCAGAGGGTGTATCACAGCAGGCATGTGATGGTGCTTTTAGCTGAGGCAGTGCCATGGCCTTCATCCCCCACCCACATACAGGGTCCCTGTGTTCAGGGGGTCTTGGCCAGACTTGCCATTGTGTTTGGGGTCACAACAAGAGGGAGAAACAGTGTGAAGTAGTTGTGTCTGGGGCAGCTGTTCCACATGAGCCTCTAGCTCTGGTAATACTTGTCCTGTTTTGCAAGCTCTGTGCAGGTGAAAAGCTGGTCCTGGTCCTGGAGGGCTGAGAAGAGCCAAGAGGAGGAAAGGCAATGCCATGGAGACATTGGCTGGGGCTGCAGCCTGGGTGTCTTGAGTCCTTACTGGGCTGGGCCACTTCTGCAAGTTTTTTGTCTGCTGTACATGGATATCTTGTGGAGCCATACAGCCACAGTGCTGCCTCTGGTGTCTGCCTACCTACAGATTTCAAAAACCTTAAAATGCTTAATTCAGTTTATCATGGTTAGTGTTTTCCTGGGAACAGCCTCAGAAGAGCTCAGAGTCCCTTCAGGCTGTCCCCAGTGGCAGCCAGCAGCACAGAGCTGGAGGATGCCATGAAGAGACATTGAGCTTTTCTTTCCGCTGGTTGGTGCAGATGGGGTTTTCCTTGCTGAGCTTTCAGTGCTTGAGCTGTTCTTGCACCCTCCCTGCCCCACCCCCGAAACCCCAAAGATAAAGGGCATGGCTTTGACCTGCTGTGGAGCATGTTTGGGTTTGCAAGGAGCTTGTCCCTTCCTGGGCTGTTTGATGGTATGGTCTTCACCTCCCTCCCTGTTCCCACCACAGCCTCCAGCTCTTGTCTCTGGGCTGTTACAAGAAGCAAGTTATGGTAATCACCATCAGCTGATGCCTCAAACATTTCAGCAGTAAAGTCACAGTATCTTTGCTCATCCTAATGCGTTTTTCCTGATGGAGTGGGTGGGCTCAGCATGATTGAGTCAGCTCAAATGCTTGACAGTTCCCACATGCTTCCTTTTAAACACCCACATGCCCTTCTCCTTTTTCATTTGTATGGTGTCAAGTAAATATCAGGGGAAGATGAGATTTATATATGCTGGTGAAATAAGTGCTATATGACATCAGTTAGGGTCTTGAACTGTGAGTCTTAAGAATTAAAATAAAAATCACAGAAAATGCAGGAAGAGTGTCACAAAGGGAGCAGAGATAATGTGTGGGATGAAGCTTGTGACTGCTGAGCTGTTACGACTGGTTTTTTTCCTAGTCTTTTCTGCACTTTTCCATCTCAAAGGAATCTGTGTGCCTTTTTGATCATAATCCATTTTGCAAGGTGAGCCAACTTGAAGCTGCCTCTGCTGACTGCCCTGGAGAATGTGTTCTCACTGATTTGTGTCTCGTTTCTCCTTCTCCAAAATCATCCTCTAGCTTCCCATCGGGCAGGAGCATAGTGGCACTTGCTGTGCACAGGGTATGTTACTGGGAGAGGCACAGAGACCTCTCCAGATAATTGGGTTAAACTCTTTGAAAGCTTAGTGCAGAACAGCAGGTTCTTGGAAGAACCTGCCTGTCCTTAACCCTGCCAGAGGCCAAACTGCAGCTTAGCTGCCTGAATGTCTTTATGCATCCTGGTGTGATGAGTCTTTACCATTTTTGTGAAAGCTGTTTCAAGGTTCTTGGTTCTCTGGGCACAGGGGATTTGGAGATCAGGGCTCCTTGGGTGAGGAGGGACTGTCTCTGTGTTCCCCTGTAGACTTCTTTTATGGGGAAGGGGCAAGTCAGTTAGTTGCTGGAGGAGCTGGTCCCTCTCCACTTGTCTTCAAAAATGTTCATTGCTAAAGCTAAAGTTACATACAATTAATCTCTTACTCAAAAGCCTTGAGGAAATACTGATTTTTAGGGCCAGAAGATCTTAAGAGCTTGTCTCCCCCTTGTAGGCAGCATTAGCCATAGATCTTCACCTGGAAAATTCATGCTTTTTGGTTAGATTGCTTTCTGAATAATTTGCATCTTGTTTATAAGTTTGGTGGGATCAAGACTGTATCCTGATCAGATTTTCCAACACTTTCTTCTCTCAGCATAATAGACGTGGAGTCTTTTAACTATTTCAGATTTTGACAGGCATTTATGTCACGTGGTGGCTGATTATAGCAAAGACAGACTCAGCTGTGTCAAGGATCTGCTATCCTGTTGGGTCATCTGAATTCTTATTTGCTGGATCTTATAATGTCCTCATCCCTATTACTTGGCATTTTCGCCTCAGCAAAAGTATAGTTTAGCTACCAGTTCTCTCATGACTTTCCTTTATGTTCCCTCCTGGGGAAGCAGATTTCCCAGATCTTTCCTATGGTTTCTTTCTTACCTGGCAAGGGATAGGTTTGAAATTGGAGTAGCTAAATGAAAGCTGGGATTGAAGCCCAGGGTGTGATCCTGGCCCTGCAAGCCTGATCCCAGGAAGGCAGGATTTCATCCAGGTCTGTGTCTCACAGATGTCCTTACTGACAGCAACATAATAAGCACTTGAATTAGCAAAGTGAAAATTACTTATCCTGCCAGTAAATTACCCTCAGATTTTAAAGTCTCACTTTCTGGGCTGTATTTATTTTTTTCATTTTATGAAAAATATGTTTGTGGTCAATGAAGTGCAAGTATCCCTTTATCCCTGCTGTGTAATTTACTTTCATTTGCTTCCTGTGGAGAGAGGAATTTGCTTCCTGATTGGTTTTTTGTTGTTTTTTTTTTCCTACAGAAAATGGTCTTTCTGACTGGAGAAATCAAACATATTTGGGTTTGCTTGAGGAAAAGAGCCAAGTGTAGACTAGATGTTCTCATTTATGTGAAGTTGTCTACAACAAGCTAATTACTAACTTGTCTACTGATGGCATCCAGGGAAAGACATCTGATGCCCCCTGATGATGGGAGCTGCTGGCTGCAGGGATGTTCCTGACATCCTTGCACTGGTGAATGTCACTGTTTTTTTAATCTGTGGGAAGCAATCCTCTTTCTGGGCAGCAGGAACCATGGTCTTTCTTCAGCCTCCTTCCCAGACCAGTATTTGGGATTTATTTTTTTTTTTTTTTTTTGTGGGTCAGGAGATCAAAAACACCAGGGGGCCTTTGCTAAATCTTTGTCCCAATTTTTGGAAGTTTTACCATCCATTGCCCTCAGAGTGGCTTTTAACAGATTATTGTGCCATTCAATCTTCCCTGAGGCTAGTGCATGGTACAGCAACTTAGTACTGGTCAGCACACTCATTTTTGTTTTGCTTGACCTGCTACATTTTTCCTTATGTTACAGGGTTTGCTGATGTCTGTTATAAAAAGCCAGAATGGAAGAACATCAGTTTGTGTACAGGTATAAATGTTGAGTAGCTCTGCTGAGGTGTTTCCTCCAGCTGGCATAGTCACATAATCTCATCTAATGTCACAGTTGGTATCTGGGTTTGCTTTGCCTTTTCACCTGGGAGTGTGGAGCCCTCAATCCTCCATCCCCGTGAGCCCAGCGCAGGCAAGGCAGGATGGAGAGGGCTGCAGGGACCAGTGTCCACATCTGAGGACTGAAGTGATGTACTGGTTTATTGACTAGATGTTTCTGATTTACTGATGAGATGCAAACAACTGGCCGTCAGTGAAGCATCAGGATCATTGTCAACAGCACAACAGGTCAACCCCAGTGCTGGACACTTAAAAAATGTTGTTAAGCACTGACAGATCCTTCTGTCCCTGATGCCCCCCGAGGGGACACGTGCCCACACAGGCAGTCAGTGCATACCCCCTTGTCCACCAGGAGGGTGAGCTCTCCATTTGTGCAGCAGGGCTGGCACCCTGCTGTCCTGGCAGAGATATTATTTTTTAAACAGCAATCTCACTAGCAGAAGGTTTTTGCACGGCATGTTGGTGAGCACCAGGTGAGCTTTGACACACTGCTCTCCAGGTCAAGGCTCCAGCCTCAGGTGCTGGCTTCCTGCTCCAGGGGGTCCCTGGGCTGCTCCAGCTCCTGTTTACTGTCAGAAGGGGCTGGGGGAAAGCTCCCTGCCCCCAGGGCAGGAAGAAAAGTTCTAGAAGCAGTGGTGGAGGAGTCAAGTTGGCTGACTGGAACGTGAGGGCAGAAGGAGCCATTCTTCCTGTTTTTCAGGGGGAGGTGAGGGAGATGATTCACCTCTTCTGCTCTGCTTTGCTCTGCTCTGGTGAGACCCCACCTGGAGTGCTGCGTACAGCTCTGGAGAGCACGGGAGAGACATGGACCTGTTGGAGAAGGTCCAGAGAAGGGCCCTCCACAAGGGCCAAAGTGGTGGAGCATCTCTGATATGAAGATAGGCTGAGATAGGCTCCTACTCAGTGACACAATATGTGGGGCTGTTCCTGATGTGCTGGGGATACTGCAGGGATTCTTTGCTAGACAAAGAGGCAATTGATGAACTAGGTCATAGCAGAAGGAGATGGTACGTGGGAAAAGCACCGAACAGAGGGGCTGCTCAAGAGGAAACCATTCCCTGTGGAAGAGGCAGCCCCAGGCCTACCTTGCTTGAGGGGACCTGTCATGCCTGTGCCCAGGTCATCCCGCAGGCAGAAGGGGCCATGGTGGGGGGTCAGGGCTGTGGGTCCCTTGGTCACAAGCAGTTCTGGGGCCTTGGTCTTGCAGGTGTTTGCCATGTGACTGGGTAAGAGGGCATGTGTCATGTTGATTTTGCTGGGACTGGATTGCTGCAGTTGTGGGACTGTCTTGTTGTGGCAGCTTTGGGGTCTGGCTATTTTCAGAGGTTTGTGCAGTTGTTCCCCTGTGTTGCAGCATCCTGAGTCTCAGCCTGGAGCTTGCTGGCTGCTCACATCAGGGATCCCTGCTGTGATGTCTGCTGCCCCACACCCCAACCCTCAGCTCTTCCTGAGTTCCTCACCTGCTTAGTCCTGCCACCACATCTGTCTGTCCCCGCTCTGCAGCTCTCTCTTTGGTTGGACTGTGGGTGGATATGCTGGCTGGTGCAAATGTATGTGTGTCTCAAGGCAGGTTCTGCCTCGCCATGTAGAAGCAAAGTAGCCATGAAATGATGCCTGGGATCAAGGGATGTTGATACAGCATTCTTGTTCAGTGCAAGACTTAGAGCAGAAGCTTAGGGAGGGCAAGCTTACAGTTGCTTCAAGCCTGGAAGCCTTTGTTGACTGTGTCTCGCCTGGTTACAGTTTGACAAAGCCTCTTCCCAGGCCTCAGGAGTCTGAACACCTGCTGTGAGTAGAAGGTGCTCAGACAGCTTTGTAGTGCTCCAAGAGTTGTTTAGAATTGTCCAGAAATAGGTGCCCTGTTTGCCTTACACTATCAGAAGCCCGTTTTCCACTCAGTTTGCCTCCCCTTCTTCTTTGGAAGTAATTAAAGGCAAGTGATGCGAGAGAAAGGGAAGGACAGCATATCCCTTTGGAGGAAAAAGTACCAGTCAGCACAGGTTTATGAAAGTCAGATCCTGCTTAACCAACCTGATCTCCTTCTGTGACAAGATGACCTGCCTTGTGGATGAGGGAAAGACTGTGAATGTTGTTTCTCTGGACTACTGTAAGGCCTTTGACACTGTCTCCCACAGCATTCTTATGCAAAAAGTGCTTGTGGCATGAATGGGCCTGCTCTTTGTTGGATCAAGCACTGGCTGGAGGGGTGGGCCAGAGAGTGGTGGTGAATGGAGCTAAGCCCAGCTGGTCACAAGTGGAGTTCCTCAGGGCTCAGTGTTGGGACCACTTCTTTATAACATCTTTATCAATCACCTCAATGAGCTAGAGTGCACCCTCATCAAGTTTGCAGACGATGCCAAGTTGGGAGGGAGTGTTGGTCTGGCTGAGGGTAGGGGGGCTCTCAGAGGGATTTGGACAGACTAGATCCATGGGCCGAGGTCAGTTGTATGAGCATGAACAAGGCCAAGTGCTGGGTCTTGCACTTGGGCCACAACAATCCCATGCAATGCTACAGGCTTGGGGAAGAGGAGCTGGAACACGGGTCAGGGACCCGGAGGTTCTCATTGCCAAGTGGCTGAATATGAGCCAGTGTGTGCCCAGGTGGCCAAGAAGGCCAGTGGCATCCTGGCCTGTATTAGAAATAGTGTTGCCAGCAGGACCAGGGAGGTGAGCATTGCTGAGGCCCCCCCTCGAGTCCTGTGTTCAGTTCTGGGCTCCTCAACACAAGAAAGACATTGAGGAGCTGGAGTGGGTGCAGAGAAGGGTAACTAGGCTGGTGGAGGCACTAGACAGCAAGTCTTATGAGGAGCAGTTGAGGAAACTGGGGCTGTTTAGTCTGAAGAAAAGGAGGCTGAGGGGAGACCTCATTGCCCTCTGCAACTAGCTGAAATGATGTTGTAGGGAGGCAGGTGCTGCTCTCCTCTCACAAGAGGGAACAGTCTAAAGCTGCATCAGGGGATGTTTAGACTAGACATTAAGAATAGCTTTTCCACTGAAAGAGATGTTGGAACGTGCTGCCCAGGGAGGTGGTTGAGTCATATGTTTAAAAGTCATATAGATGTGGTGCTTGGGGATATAGTTTAGGGGTGAATGTGGTAGAGTAGGGTTAAAGGTTGGACTTGATGAACTTACAGATCTAAATGATTCTATGATTCTGTGAATGTGAGACTTGTACCATAAAAGGCAGAAATGGGAAAAGAGTGAGGGTGCTGGGGAGGGAAGTATAAGAGCAGTGGAACAGGAAGAGTATTTAGCAGAGGCACGTGGGGCTTGGAGTCAAATTCTGGATACACAGACAGGAGGAGGGTTGCTGGGGCAATTCCTTCTTCTGTGAATCTTTAGGGCTTATAATGAGCTGTAGGCACCTGCCAAGTGAAGACCCTTTTAAGATTGTTTCCTGCTAACCCCCTCAAGCCATGGCTCTCTGTCTTGTAGTAGTACCTGAGCACTGCCCAGAGCTCTGGGGCAACAGATGTGGCATTAGCATGTGGCACATGACTGTGCTGAAAGCCCAATTTAGACACAGTGCCTTTTAATCCAATGTAGGGCTATGAGGATGATGAAGGGACTGGAACACCTGTCTTATGAGGAAAGGCTGAGAGACCTGGAGCATTTCAGTCTAGAGAGGAGAAGACTGAGGGGGAATCTAATTAATGTCTATAATAAACACATGAGGGCTGGGGATCAATAAGGCAGAGACAACCTCTTGTCATTTGTGCCCTGTGATAGGATGAGGGGCAATGGATTCAAACTCAAGCACAGGAAGTTCCACCTGAACATGAGGAAGAACTTCTTTCCTGTGAGGCTGCCCAGAGAGGTTGTGGATTCTCCTTCTCTGGAGACTTTCAGGACCTCTCTCGATGCCTTTCTGAGTGACCTGCCCTGGTTTTGGTCCTGTTCTGGCAGGGGGCTTGGATTGATGATCTTCAGAGGTCCCTTCCAACCCTTGACCTTCTGTGATTCTGTGATTCTTTCTGTGATTCTGTATGGATTCAAACTCAAGCACAGGAAGTTCCACCTGAACATGAGGAAGAACTTCTTTCCTGTGAGGCTGCCCAGAGAGGTTGTGGATTCTCCTTCTCTGGAGACTTTCAGGACCTCTCTCGATGCCTTTCTGAGTGACCTGCCCTGGTTTTGGTCCTGTTCTGGCAGGGGGCTTGGATTGATGATCTTCAGAGGTCCCTTCCAACCCTTGACCTTCTGTGATTCTGTGATTCTTTCTGTGATTCTGTGATTGATTCTGGGAGACTAGTGCCCACGGGTGCTCCCAAGGCCGTGTGTGCCACCCAGTGCATCAGCCTGGTC